GTGCACAAGCTTCAAACTTCAGCGTTGGCTGCGATTTTGACGCTGAAATCGCGTTCGGTGTGAACGCACCATTAGTCTAGAGCCCTGCTTAGTTTACACTACATAAATACTGTTTTAGTCAGATTGTAATATGTTGAATCTCACTAGATAAAACTGACTTTAGTCTCTGTTAAAGAAATCCTTCTTTGATCCATTGAGCATTAAAACCATACGAACATCAAATAAAGGATGGGAAATAGACACTGTGCACGCCTCTCCAAGATGAAGTCTGAGTAGTAAAATAGCATACCAGGGGGTTTTTTTTTAGCATGGTTACTCTCATCCTTGTGGCTGCTGTACTTTCACTTGTGAAACAAGACAACATGCAAATACACACTCTGGTATGTTGTGTCTATTCACCATGACTAAAAAAAACGCCAGGGTCGTTTCTGGTCCCAGTCTAGCCCTGGTGATACGGTCCTGCCACTCCTGGGACTTAACAAAAAATAACTTTGTAACTGAGAGAATATTGATAATGAACGGGTTATTGATCAACATGTGGAGAAAAAAAAAAACCTTTCAGAGCTGCGGCTCATGTGGCAACATGTGACCACTGTTCACAGGACTACACCAAACTAAACAGGTTTCTATGGATGAGTGACACAGCAACTTTGTTGTTAGTTAAAAAATGTTACACACAAGGAGAATTGTTAAAATGAGTTCAATGTTTGTGATTGAAAGGAGGGATGTGTCCGTCTCACCATGTCGTGCTTCTGTCTTTACTGGTTCTGCTGGACTCAATTTCTGAACGCTCCATCTGTCCACACATAAGGACTAGGGATGTAAAAAAATATCGATACACTGAAATATCGCGATATTTCATTTCCCGATACTGTATCGATATTCTAAAGCCCTGTATCGATTTTTTATTAAGGTTTMAAACGTCAACTTTCCTGCCAGCTGTTCATTTTTATGTTGTAGTTCAGCCTCTGACCACTAGTTAGCAGCAGTGAGTCAGCCATTTGGCTCCTCTACCTCTTGAGCGCCAGAGAGTAAGGGTAGCATTAGCATTGAAAGTAAACATTAGCTTTTCATTTTTTTTCAGTAAGAGGTTTTTATTTAATAGAAGTTTTGGACAAAAACATTGCAATATATCGGGATATATCGTATCGCCAAATTCTTGCCAATACACAGGCCTAATAAGGACTTATCTGTGCAGCCATTACTAGGGATGGCCTGATTTTTGATTCAATCGTCTATCGGCGATTGAAGGGTTGGAATGCGATTTTTTTAAGGGCAATCTTAATTAATTAATTAAATGCTGTGCCAGGGATGTAAGCTAAATTTTAAACGCGCCCTTCTCTGTAAATTAAAATGTTTTAATCATCATCGTGATCTGTGCAAATGAGGGAATAAAATAACAGTCCTACGTCCGTTTTTTTTTCTCGGAGTCGGAGCCAACATGCGCAGCTCCTCTTTACGTCTCTTTTCTCGTCATCTTCTTGCTTTGGTGCACCACAAATGATCCAAATACTGCTGTATTATAACATTTAGTTATGAAACGAATAATCCATGACAATCATACATTTGAACAAATAACTTTAACCAGTTCCGAACCGGACCAAAGCGCATTTCCTCACCCCTGCTCATCCCCGTCACTCTGGGCTCTATGTGTGTTTGAAGTGTGCCACCCACAAGTCGAACTTTTCACCCCCCCTCCACATAAGAACACATATGGTGTGATTGGTCTGAAGTTTGTGGGAGTGTTTGTTCGTGCTAAAAACGCTCAGACGCTGTGTTTGCTTCAACCACTCGCTAAAAAAAAGTGACTCGTTTGAATGCCGACTACCAGGAAGCAGTGATTTATAAAGATAGTCAAACAGCCAAAACCTCATAAAAGGGATAAAACAGACTATTTTCATGGTGAAATCTGACCAATAAAAACGTTTGAGCTTAATCCTGGACCAGTTTGTGGGTAAACAACGTCGAGTGGCGAGTGTCTGACTTTTTTTTTCCGCATTGGACTCCGTCCGGGTCAGGTAGAAATCCCCTGTAATGCAGCAGTGGGGAGGGGGTTTCCCAGGAGCTCGGCGCGGGGGTCTCAGGAACTATGTGCAAATACGAACGCTTTCTTTCCTTTTTTAACAACGTAACTGTGCATGCCTTATCAGCCGATTGGATCGTTTATTGGCAATAGTCAGTGACCATGATCTTATGATGTGAAAATAGGGACAATTTCCCATCCCTAGCCATTACATGGATCTGTCTTTTGGATGAGGCAAATATTTGCACTGCAGGACAATATCAGCATGATGGGCATTAAAAAAAGGCTAAATATTTTAAATTTTGAAAGGCATACGTCCATGACCCCACCCTCCTTCCAGTGTTTGCTTGTGAAAATGATGTAGACTTTGACACGCCCCTACGTTTGCTACCTTTTAGAAATATGTGGGTAAAACCACTCATGGGTACCTCAGTAACGTTACTTAAAAAGTCAGATGAAATGATAGGCGTGTGCAGGTCCACTTTGCAAAATATCTGATACGCTGCATATTTGCAAAAACAAATGGTGTAGCCACTAGGTAGAACGGTTCAACAATACGACTCTCCACAGATTAAACTAAACAAATCAGAAACAGATTGGGCTTCACGACAGAACCGATGACCAGTTTGAACCAAAGCAAAAAGCTGTTGTAATATGTTAATATGTGACCCATCGTTTCGAAATGAGGATTAAATCAAATTTGAAATGACCTAATTACATTTTCAGATTCKTGGCTTTAAAAGCTACATTTTGATACCTGGATCATTCTGATATCTTAATTAAATCCATAGATATGACTTAATTTGTCTTGTTGGTTACAATAATACATAA